GGTGCTGTTGCTCTCCCAAGTTCTGGCGGTTTGGGCTGTGTCCCCATCACCATCCAGGACTGGCTCTGGATGTACAAGACAGATGTGCCCAGGTTTCAGGAGGGGGCCAGCTGCCAGCCCTTTGGAGCCAGCACCTCTGTGGGCTACCCCAGCACCCAGGCCAGCACCTTGTCTTGGGAGTCGCCCTGTTGCTGGGTTAGCTGTAGGGTGGCAAAATCTTTAATTAGACCAGGCAGGGTTTTCTCGGCCACGAGTGGAGGAGGCGTGTGAGTCTATTGGGGAAAACTAGGTCACCTGAAAACCAGTAGCCAAGAGGGAACTGTCCTGGAGCCCCAGCTCCAGGGAACCCAGAGGGGCGAGGCAGGAGGGGCTGGCAGGGGGAGCAGAGTCAGAGAAAATGTGCTCTGGCCCTTTTTACTGGCCCTTGGGAGGCATCGTCCTCATCTTTCTCCAGGGGGCTGGGCAACTGCCCTTAATTCTTTCATCCTGAGCAAACTGCCTGAGCCAGGGACTCACTGCAGTGAGTGTCTTTTTGGTCTGCCTGAGGCTTGAATCCAGGGAGGGAGCACTGCACTGGGAGTCAGGGTTGGAGGTACTAGCTCAGCCTCTATCCTTGGAGCATGCCACCCACTCCCTTGTGCCTCTGTTGTGTCATTCATCCAATGGGCAGGGACTGTGCCCATCTTTGAACCTGCTGTATCCTTACCCTTAGCACCGTTCTGGCATGTGACACATGCCTCATAACTATTTCTCAGGTGAAATGATGAATGCATACAAATGCTTCTCTATAAGATTGTCATCATTGAGGATGAGTGGCCAGGTGGCTTTTTCAGATGTCAATCATGCACAATCTTTGTCAACACTAAGTGCCATCATCCTTTAATTTTTCGTTGCTATCACGTTGCTAGCTTTCCCCTGAAGTAGATTTACAATATGAAAAAAGGGAAATTTTATGTCACGACTATAAAGAAACAAATCCGTAGAAAATACAACGATGTCATTACATTCTATCTTGAATACAATCACTTGCCTGGGGCCTGCTTTCTCTTTGTTTACAAGGGAGATTGGCATGGTTAAAATGATGTTAAAGGTCTGTTAGTACTGAACTGATACTTTCTCCTGGAGACAACTTGATAGATTAAAAAAGAAATGAAAAGGATATACTTGTTTTCTCTGAGCCCACGCTATACTAAACCTTGCCCTATACTTTTGAAAATTCCTTCAGAATGGATTATCTTTCCAAACTTAGGGTAACACTTGGCTGAGACGATGGCCGGGCGGGTTCTTGCAAAGAAATTAAGTGCTTTAACAGGGTAAGTTATGGGTCTGGTTATTCTTATCTTCAGCCTTCGCATGCTTTTGGTGTCTCCCACTTGGCAGGTGATCAGTAAATAGTGCATAATGAAGAAATGAGGAGCTGTCTGGGTACAGATTCTTAGGGCTGAAAGAAATCTTACAGAGCACTCAGTTCGATGACATAGTGGAAATGTACTGTCCAGTGAGTGATGAAGAATTGGCTACCTCCCGAGACAGCCAGTGGCACTGCTTGCTGGACAGCTCCGGAGTCTGGTGTGTATTCTGTGGGTGCACGCAGCGACTCCCCTGGACCTGGATCCTGCTCTGCACTGGGGAGGCTCACAGACTATCTTCTCTTTCACGTGTAGATTGGACCTGTGGGTATTTGGAGACTTTTGTCTCATTTTGCCCAAGACAGGGCTTGCAAACGCAAATGACCATAGGAGTGAGCAAGTGTTGCCATGTAGTGAAGGAGGACGGGTGAGAGTAATGGGGAGGAGTGGGGACCATGGTAAATTAGAGGATATGTGCCTGTATGAAGGACCAGTCCCACTCCACACCTGCTGACTGTTGCCCTGTGAGCCCAGCATGGCCAGGTCCTGAGATGTTTAAGAATAGCTGGAAATTTGATTTTGACGATGACGTCTCCACATTTCCGATGCAAGCCCTGAATTACGATATTGTAAAACACCGCACGGGCCATGCTGTGGGCCACAGGGGGCTTTCAGGCTAGGTCTGGTCTATAGCCACAAGTTGTTCACCACTGCCCTCCGAGACTTCTGTTCCCTTTGAGTGCCATCCTCTTCAAGCCACGTTTGTGTGTGTTGTTTTCTGAACTCCCTCCAAGATGGTCAACCCCTCTTTCTGCCTTGGAACATTGCCAAGCTCCCTCTCAGCCCATGTCTCTACCTCTGACCTGGTGAACTCCTTCATATTCACCCTTTGAGGTTATCAGTCGCCCTTTACTCTGGAGAACGTCTCCTGATAAACCCAGGCAAGCTGGCTTGTTCATTCTCTAGCCGTGCGCTGTTGGGTAAATTACATAATCTCTTTGTGCCTCACTTTCCTTGCCTATGAAATGGAATGATCATAGCATCTACCTCATTTGCTTGCCAGGAGGATTAAATGAATTTATAGATAGATTGGCAGACAGACAGACTGGCTGGCTGGGACTTACTACAAGGCAGAGCTGGCCCCTCATCCATCTCTGAACCAGAATTTGCCACAGAGCAGGCGTTCCCTGAATGTTCGATTATCCCAGGAAGGGGGCAAAGTAGACATGTGGTCCACTAGCTCCCAGTGAGGTCTGACCATCATGATGACATGGTGTGGCTGTGAACTCAACTCTTCTGAGCTCATTTTAAAAAGGCAACCAACATATCTGTCTAAATCAGTGGTTGCCAACAGGTGATCTGCAGGGCCACTGGTGGTCCGTGAGGTCTAAAAGATTGACAACCGCTGATCTAAATGGCTAAAATAAAAGCCAGTGACAGTACCAAATGCTGGCAAAGAAACTGGATCACTCATGTTGCTGGTGGGAATGAAAAATGGTACAACCTCTCTTGAAAACAGTTTTACAGTTTCTTATAAGACTAGACATGGTTGCAGGTTCGATTCCCGGCAAAGTTGGGCTGCATGCAGGAGGCAACCAACCTCTCTCTCTCTCTCTCTCTCTCTCTTTCTCTCTCTCTCTCTCTCTCTCCTTCTCTTCCTTCCTCCCTCTCCCTCTCCCGTCCTCCCTTCTATGACAACCCTCCTTTTCACTCTCTCTAAAAATCAATGGAAAAAATATCCTTGGATGAGGATTAAAGAAAAAAAAAAAAGATTGATAAATTACATCAATGTCAAGTTCCTGGTTGTTATATTATACTGTAGTTTTGCAAGATGTTACCACTGGGATAAATTGGATAAAGGGTACACGGCATCTTTCGGTGTTACTTGTTACAATTGCATGTGTATTTACAATGATCTCAAAATAAAAGCTTAATTAATTAATTAATTTAAAAGCATCGTAAGGCATTCCAAAAAGAAAAGAAAACAAAAGGCCAGTTAGCTGTTTCCTGCTGGGCCTTGCCTTTGGCTTATGTTTACTCAGACCTGCTGGACCTTTGCCCTGGGCGTATTGCCAAGCCAGCCCCTGCCCCATGACGCCTGTCCGACCTCTAGTCTCAGAGCTGAGGGAGCCCTGAACCTTCTGACCCAACCTGAGCACGCGAGGGTCCAGGCTGAGGGTCCAGGCTGAGGCTGAGCCTGGTCTTTAGCCTCTGGAAGGCAGGCAGGACCCCGCCCCCTGCCATGGAAATGAAGCAGGGAAACCAGGAGATTACAATTACCTCCTACAGCACAGGGCCAGCCGATCCCCTTTGTGACAACAGACGTTTCCACATTGTGCGATCGCAGAGCTGTGCCAGGCTTTCCCTGTCACCGACTGACCCCCGGTTCTCCACCAGCCTTGCCTGTGGGTTCCCGGATGCATGCGTTTACATGCCCCTGCTTTCTTCCTCCAAGCTGCTTCCTCTTTGCGGCTCTGCTAGGTGTGTAACATTTTGATCAACTCTTTTAAAAAAAAAAAAAAATATATATATGTATACACACACAATTGATTTTTTACAGAGAGGAAGGGAGAAGGATAGAGAGTTAGAAACATCGATGAAAGAGAAACATCGATCAGCTGCCTGCTGCACGCCACCACTGGGGATGTGCCCCTAACCAAGGTACCTGCCCTTGACCAGAATCAAACCTGGTGCCCTTCAGTCCGCCGGTCGATGCTCTATCCATTGAGCCAAACAGGTTTCAGCGTAGAGTCACCAGAACCGGTTTCGGCTGGTCAACTCTTTTTATTCCTTGAGCATCCTATAAATGCTGGGAGTCAAGCACATTTTATAGGTAGAAAACAGGATTAAAGAGGTTCGAGTCGTTCCAAGACCCATTTCCCTCGTTGTCTGACAGCCCATGGGTCTGAAGACAGAAACCAGTGGGCTTTCGACTCTGGAATATTGTTAACCTCAGGTATTGTTCATGAAATTGATTCCTGGAATATTGTCCAGGAATCACTTTCTTTAACTATCAATCCTGTGTTATAACAATGTTAACAACCGTGCGTGTTGTAACAATACACCCACCATCAATGGTATGAGGCGATGGAGGTGTTCCCTGATATAACACTGCAATGGATACCGCACAGCAGTGTATGAGTGTATCAAATCAACACTTTAAGTTTACACACTTCACAGGCAATTCCATCTGAATAAAAAAACAAGAGCCGAAACCGATTTGGCTCAATGGATAGAGCGTCGGCTTGGGGACCGAAAGGTCATGGGTTCGATTCCTGTCAAGGGCATGTCCCTTGGTTGCGGGCATATCCCCAGTAGGGGGTGTGCAAGAGGCAGCTAATCGATGACTCTCTCTCATCGATGTTTCTAACTATCTCTCTCCCTTCCTCTATGTACAAAATCAATAAAATATATTAAAAAAAAAACCACAACAACAACAAGAAAAATATCCCCAGTAAAATAGGGGGAGGGGGAACGTGTTTTGAACAGGGACCGGGTGACATGATCAGATCGGAGTTCTGAGCCTGACCAGCCTGCCCACCTGTCTGTCTGTCTGTCTCCCCCGCAGGCCGCACCATGAGGCCCCGGCCCCGCCGGAGCCGCGCTCCCCGGGCCGCGGGCGCCCGGTGCTAGCCCCGCGGGGAGGGCGCCATGGCCAGCCACGTGGACCTGCTGACGGAGCTGCAGCTGCTGGAGAAGGTGCCCACGCTGGAGCGCCTGCGGGCCGCGCAGAAGCGCCGCGCGCAGCAGCTGAAGAAGTGGGCGCAGTACGAGCAGGACCTGCAGCACCGCAAGCGCAAGCAGGAGCGGAGGCGCAGCGCCGGCGGCCGCAGGAAGAAGGTGACCTTCGAGGCCAGCGTGGCCCTGCTGGAGGCCTCCCTGAGGAACGACGCCGAGGAAGGTAGGCGCTCCGATCCGTGTCCGCTGGCGGCCCGGGCCTTCGTGCCTCCGGGCAGGGTCTGCCCCCTGCCCTTCCATTCTGTGCAGTAGAGGTGTGAGCTGGGGTGGGGTGGGGTGGGATGGGGTGGGCGGAGGGTCTGACCCTCTCCCGGGTTTGGCAGCCTCACACACCTTGGGAAGGCTCCAGGTTTACTTAGACTCTTTTGGGGGAAACAAAAACCCAGCCTTTGGCTAACGAACATCATCATTTTCCTTTCTTGCCAGAAATATTTACTGACAACCTACGTCTTGTGCATTATTCTGCTAGACATTTGGTGAACAAGGTGGGCCGGGTTTCTCCTCTCAGAGCTCAATGCTCATAGGATCTTGCATTTCTCTGGCGCCTCCTCAGCGCCTGGCCAGGAGCGGGGGCTCAGTGTGCAGTCCCTGTCCTTCAGCTCTGGGGCTCAGTGTGCAGGTGCCTTTCCTGTAGCTCTCGCTGCGGAGGTAGACGGTGTAGGGTGGTTAATCGCAGAGGCTCTGAGGTTAGACTGCAGGAGTCTAACACTGACTGTGTCAAGCATTCCCTCTGTGACCCTAGCAGTTCTCTTCCTGTACCTCAGTTTCCATCTCTGTAAAATGGGGATAATAATGGCATCTACCTCAAAGGGCTTGCTGTGAACATTAAATGCCTGTGAATTTCTGGAACATTTCATGATATACATATATACTTATATATTATATAATAAGATAAAGTAGAGTAATAATGTAATAAAAATATAACAAAATAAAATAATAGAGTGGTTATATTATATAAAGTAGTATATAATATAAACATTATGATATAATTATAAATATATAAGTTATAATATATTTATATGTGTATAAAAATAATAATAGTTATGTTCATAAAGTCTGGAAACAGAAGAATATAGACAATGTTGTCTAGGCCATTTTCACTTTACAAAGTGAATGAGTAAATACATATAAACACATATACATACTCGTAAAATATGTTTCCACATTTTATGGATACTCTGTACTTGTTATATTCTTATTTAATTATATATATGTATTTAAATATATTTTATTGATTTTTTTACAGAGAGGAATGGAGAGGGACAGAGAGTTAGAAACATCGATGAGAGAGAAACATTGATCAGCTGCCTCCTGCACAATTCCCTACTGGGGAGGTACCCACAACCAATGTACATGCCCTTGACCAGAATTGAACCTGGGACCTTTCAGTCTGCAGGCCGATGCTCTACCACTAAGCCAAACCAGTTTCGGCAATTTAATTATATTATTATGTGTCCTATGACCCAGATATCACGATACCCAAGAGGCAGGTATAAAACACCCATTTTAGAGGGGAGCTATGGGGGGAAAAAGAGGAACACCTGTAATAATCTGAACAATAAAGATTTATTATATATATATATATATATATATATATATATTTTAAAAGACCCATTTTACAGATAGGGAAACTGAGACCTAGAGAGGTTCAGAACCTTGATCAAGATGGCAGACCAGGATCAGAACCCCTAGGATTCAAGCTGTTGCCACTGGCCGCGTGGCCTTGTAGCTTTGCTTCCTGCCATAAGGATGAACGGACGATCCATGCTTTAGCCAATGTGCTCTTCTCTGAGCATGCTCTGAAGGGACATGCCTGCTCATTGTGCATCTGAGATCTGTGCTTGTGTCCTGTGTTCACCCTCAGCAGCCTCTGGTTCCTCTTTGGATACAAATCCTTTCTGGCTGTCCCAGAAGAGGCCCAGCCACGTTTCCTGGGTCCCTCTGGGCTCCTGCCTCTGCACACCCAGATGCTGGGTGCTCAAGCAGTCATTGAAAGAACAGAGACGTGGCGGCATTTATTACGCTAGAAGGTGCTGGGTTTTATGCCTGTGTGAAGCACAATGCCGCTTGTGCCCTGTGACGGCGCTCTGGGGAGTAAGCAGGGAGTCACTCCTGGGAGCACAGAGCCCAGAGCCTGGGCTGTGCAGCCCCCTGAGGAGCACGAAATCCCAGGCTCAGGGGACACGACCCCTCGGGCTCCTGCCCACGTGCCATTTGCTGGGTGACGTGGCAGGCCCAGCCCACTCAGTGGGAGGCACATCATGATGTCTAATTTTTGTCGTGGGCGATAGTTCATCAGCTCCTCTTTCATCCTTTGCACCCTTCTTCCCTGGCAAAGCCCCACTCCCCCTCCCTTTGCAGAGGCTCAGTGAGCTGGCTGTGCCGCTTCAGAAGGTCGGCACCGCCCCAGCCCGCTGCCCACCCCCGGTGTTCTGGTTAGAAAGAGCGCCAGGGCCTCTCAGCCCTGGGGTGACCTTGACAGCTGGCTTCACCTCTCTGGGTCCAGTTTCTTACTCTGCAAAATGGAGCTTTGAGCCGGGCCCTCAAGGGGGGAGTGGCAAGAATTAGACAAGATCCTTGCTTGACAGCTCTTTGAAAAGGGACCCTGAACCCTGCACCAACATGGTGACCATCTCAAAACCACTTTTTTCATTTATTAGGTTTTTTTTCACTAGACTAATGTATTTAAACATGCACACACATTCTTCTTGTAAAGAAATGAAACACAGAAGTTGCAGAGTGAAACGTCTCTCTCCCCCTTCCATCTGAAATCAATGCTGCTTGATTGGTGTGTCACCTACCAGGCCTTTCCCCCGTTTACCTGTGTATCTGTGGGCATGGAGAAGTAGGAGCTAGTTGGGGTTCTTTTGTTTTTATTTTTGTGTAAGTGATATTATCCTGGATACATTATTCCACCATTTCCTTTTTTTCACCCAACAATATATCTTGGAGGTGCTTTCATGCCAGGAAAACTACCGCGGAATAATCTGTTATTCTTTTTAACTGCTGTTATTCCGTAGTGTGGACTCACCAGGGTTTTTAAGCTGGTTCCTTATTGATGGAAGCTTTTCGGGGGTTTTGCTTTTGCTGAAGGGAACGTTTTGTGCACACGTGCAAACATTTATCTAGGATAGGTGTGGGAAAATTGAGGAAGTGCATCCAGGGGTACATTGGTGCATATATTACATTTGAAAGAAAAGTGCCAGGCCCCACAGGCTGGCCTCTTGGCTCTGGGGACAGCCAGGAAGGATAGGGGGCCAGAGCACTGGGCCCTGGGGCAGGCTGTGGGGGTGATGTGAGGCGCCCTGGAGGGCCACAGGTGGCTGGGTCTTGGAGGAGAGAGCTGGAGCTAACATCCATCAGCAGGCGCTGTTTCCTGCCAGCACGCCAGAGCCCGCTGCTCCCAGCTGGCCAGGAGGCTTCTGTGCGCAGGAGGCGTGGGGGCTGGTGTTGGGGAGGCTGGCGGGCGTAAGCTCACAGCGGGGTGGTTGGCAGCTCCCCCGCTCCCCTGAGCTCACAGCTGTGGCTGAGTCAACCTCCTCCACCTGCCAGGGCAGTGTGAGGCGTTCAGAGAAAGGCAGCGCTGGGGAAACTTACCAGTTTCCTTCTCAACTCTGCCTGCCCTCCGGCTAATATCCGGGCACCAGAGACCCTTCTTGGCCTCAGACCTGCCTAAGCACCACCCTCCTGTTCCTACTGCCCATTTAAAAAAACAAAACAGCTTTATGGGGTCTAATTTACATATCATAAAATGTGCCCATTCAAAGCAGATCATTCAATAATTTTCAATAAATTTAAGGAGTTGTATATCCATCACCACAACCCAGTCTTAGAACATTTCATCACCCCAAAGGAAACTTGTACCCTTCTGTAGTCACTCCTGGTTCCCACCCCCAACCCCAGCCCTAGGCAGCCACTGATCTATTCTCTGCTCCCATTTCCCTGCTTTTCTAGACATTTCATTGCACGGACTCATGTGACATGTGATCTTTCATGATGACTTCTTCATTTAGAATAATGTTTACAAGGTATACCCAGGGTGTGGTATATATCAGGATGTCATTCCTTTTTATTGTCTTACTAGAGGCCTGATGCACGAAATTTGTGCAAGAGTAGGCCTTCCTTTCCCCGGCAGCTGGCACTGGCTTCCCTCGAAGCCCAGCTTTGTCCAGAAGGGACATCTGATCTCATTAGCATATTATACTTTTATTATTATAGATAGTATCCCGGGGTATGGAGAGACCTCATTTTGCTTATCCACTCACCAGGTGACGAACATTGAGATTATTTCCATTTGATGAATGATGCTGCTAAGTAAATTTATGTGCAAGTCTTTGTGGACAAGTTTTCATGTCTCTTGGGAAGTTACCTAGGAATGGCTTTGCTGGTTCATATGGTAAATTTATATTTAACTTTTCAAAAACACTTGCTAGACTGTTTTCCAGAATGGCTGCATCCTTTTAAAAAATATATATATTTTTATTGATTTTAGAGAGGAAGGGAAAGGGAGAGAGAGATAGAAACATAAACGATGAGAGAGAATCAAGGATTGGCTGCCTCCTGCAATCCCCCAACTGGGGATCAAGCCCACAACCTGGGCATGTGATCTTTACCGGAGTTGAACCCGGGACCCTTCAGTCCACAGGATGACGCTCCATCCACTGAGCCAAACCAGCCAGGGTAGGCTGCATCCTTTTACATTCTCAAACCCCATTTTACTGCTCCTCATCTGAGAGGCGATGGCACTTGCTGAGACCTCACAGGTGTCACACATGTCAGACCCAGGACTTGAAAGCAGATCCATTGTCTCTGAGGGTAGATCAGTGGCCTGTGCTTCTAACAACCAGGTGGTCCCAGCACCTCCTGCATTTGGTTTTCCCTAGAAAACAAGAGAACCGCTCACTTGTGGTTCTGATCTGTGCCTCTTTGGGCCTTATGAGCCCTGGTGTTTCTGCTGATCTCGGGCCCTTTGCATTCGGGGTGCCTGGGCAGGCTCTTCAGCTCTCGCTGAAACCTCTTTCCGCAGCTGCATGAGCCCCGCTTGCCTTGAAAAGAATGAACATTTGTTAACGTATCAGGGCTTCTGTTCTCTCAGAATTTGTAGGGTTTTCTTTATGGAAATCCTATTCAAACTCAAACGTTTGAGCGATTCTTCTATAGCCT